CGAGAAATCGTGTGTAAAGGTGGGACCTACCTAATTACGTCGCCGCCCGCCCAGAATACAAGATGAGTTTGGAAATTTAAACGGCTCTTTATGAAAATCAGCTTGTTAATAAAACGTCGACTTCAATTACGAGACGTTTCTTACGAATATTAAATTTGTTTAAATATTTTTTTTAATAAAATTGAATTTATTCATATCTAGGTAGATAATTCTAAATTTTAAAGCGAGTTCTTAAAACGAAAAAATACGAGAAGGACTGGCAATACTGCCCCGACTTTTCAATCGCATTTTTCTTTTACAACGTTCTTGTAAGAAGTTGTAACCCTTACTCCATTACATCATACATTGATCATAACAATTAAAAGAAAATGTCAAGGCTCTATCAGCAGAAACCATGGTGAAATAGGAGCACTCACATTACGGACAACATACATTAAAGATGAAGCACGTTTGACATCCAACTATTATAAACGCGAAAGTTTGTATGGATGGATGTTTGTTACTCTTTCACGTATAAACTACTGAATGGATTTTAATGAAATTTTACAAAAATATAGCTTATACATCAGAATAACACATAGGCTACAATTTATAAAGATATTGTGTGAATTGTCCAAAGTATCAAGTAAGTAGGAAAAATTCTACCATCTGCGAGCTATACTAGCGTGCGCTGCCAAAACCGCTAGAGTTACACATGAGTTACACATTGGAAATCTTTATCTTAAATAGTCCTACAAAAAAGCCCGCCACGGTATATATCTAAATCTTATGTGTAAGCAAATATAGCCAAAATAGTGAACCATAACTAGAATAAAAATTGATAATTTATTTCAAATGCACATTTGGTAATTAATAAATTGATTACTAAATGAAAATAGATACTTTTATCGCTTCTGGTATTTAAAGTAAATAAAATATATCTATCAGGCTACAATATTGGATAAATATTATTTTATTCTTTCGATATTAATATTTAATATCAATAATTCAAATTCGTCCAATTATCCACCAATGTTACAAAATCCATGGCATGGCAATATTTCAATATCAAATTTTAATAAAATCCTATCAAATATTTATCTGCTAATACCCTGACCACAACTGAATCCTCGTAAAGTTATGTCAAAATTAATACATGTAAGAAGATTGTAATATAAGATTCCTCCAACTTCGATTTTGTTCCCTTTGGAGTAGATACTCTTGGGCCGTGGGGTTCGAGTCACACGCGCTAATTAAAGGTTTAAGTTGGCGCCTGGTGGATAGTACCGGTGGCTCCAGCGGTTGTGCTTTCCATGCTCAATGAATAAGTTTCGCAATACAGCGAGGAAATTCTGCCAGCATTAAAGGTATACTGCTTAGGGCCCAAGTATTTAAATTTGTTTTAATTTTCTTTTTATTAATTTTTAATTATTTTTTTACAACAATGTAGGTTAATATAATTGTAAATACTGTATATTTGATTGTTGTGATGACTAATAAACTATACGCGTAACAATGACAATATGATAAATTATTTGTAAATTTCCACACCATTTAACACTTTAAAATTAAGAAAAATACCAACCCCTTAAAAACAAGTCATTAACGCCTTGAGGTATGGTTTAGATTTTTTTCGTTATTCTGCGACGATAACTCCAGGACGGAAAAATTATATGATTAATTATCGGTGGGTCTCATTAGCGCGCAAATGCGACCGTTCAGTGGTAAAATTGAATCACGTCCGCGTTCAATACAAATCTAATTATATTCATACCGAACAAATGACGAGCAGTTTTCTATAGAAATAATCCAAACCGCTGATTTAACTATAGTAATTAAGGCGACATAATTATCGGAACGGTTTAAGTCATTTTACAAATAATTACCGCTTGTTAGCGTTAAATTCTAGATGATTCTTACACGCGTAATAAAAATATGACTTATCATTATGAATTATAGAAAGAATATGTAATTATTAAAAAAGATCTTTTTGGCAAATTGGGATAAGCTTTATCTGCTGTATAAGCAGTAATCTACGATGGGGCTGAATAAAGATTTACTGGGTATCAAAAATAGCTCCTACGCTCAATTGACGAAATAGGATTACAATATCGAATAATTTAATTTCCGCGTAACGGAAAAGTACTTTTATTAATAGAACATTTATTTCAAAAATGGAGTCTAAAAACTAAGGGAGTTGTAAGTTTACTTTGTACGAAAATAATTGTCGTTTTGCCAAAGGCGCGTAAGAAATTACTTTTTACATCTACATAATTTCTGAGCAAATCGTAACAATACACTGTACCGCGGAATATCAAACTATGCCGCTATCTCCATATTCCTCACGTGTCATAATCCACGTACAAAGACGAGAATATGAGTGACGTAGCTATTTTTCGTAATTTGCGTCGTAAACTTGAATGAGACAAAATCATGGCCTCGCCTTGGATTTTTTTCTTGTCTCAATGGGTTTCGGTAATGCCCCGCTCGACGATAGAAAAAATTGTGCTATATATAAGAATACTGAATTAATCAAACTCTTTTTTTACTTGTGGTATTATCGTCAGAAGGACACGGAAAATTGCTTGGAAAATCAGTTTCATGTGTCTAACTAAAGTCGTATTTATATATCTTTTACTGTTGTGTTTATAGTATTATACTTTATCAGGAAACTGTGCAAGCTCCTGTTAATAGCACGAGAAGGCATTAAAATAAGTTAATAATATTGCATTTTTTATGTTACACGCCGCAAATGTATGCATACAACAATCATCCTAACATGAGTTTTATAAAGATTAGTTTAGTCTCCTTCCATCATAGCGTAAACAAAATTTAACAGAAAGAGACGAAAGAACATTTCAAATATAAGTGTTTTAAAGAGACTTTAGTTCTAATAAATGAAGAAGTAAAAACGCTAACATTTAAACGAATATAAGTATGAAAATTCTTAGTACTGTGCCGTACTTAGCCATGATCCGAACGCACGACGGCTGTTTGCCACTTAGCTAAACACGGCTCAATACTAATACACATATTATGTATTTTACGTTAGCGTTTAATAGTTTGTCAAACTCATGTTATTTATATAAAAATCTCCTCTATTTATATAAAATTTGAAGTAATAAATCATTAAAAAGCGCAGACGCTATTAAACTAACTTCCTATCAAGACACGGGAATGAGGTCAGGACGTCCGCGGTATTTTCACGAAACAACGGACTCGAAACGTTCAAGTTATTGGATTGCTGAAACTTCCACAGATTATCGCTGATACAACGAGAGTACGATTTATTGCAGCTGTATTCTTAACTGTTCTATTGTTAGATTTATTGTCTCATGTTACAAACTACCGACTAAATGTACCAGCCTCTCACAAGTGTGAAGAGGCTAATTTAAAACTTTGTGTAATAAGACTGTACGACAAAGATACTAGTGCTGGTCTAGTGGCTCCACCGTGCAACTCTCATTCCTGAGGTCGTAGGTTCGATCCCCGAACACCAATGGACTTTCTTTCTATGTGCGCATTTAGCATTCGCTCGAACGGTGAAGGAAAACATAACCTATATATAACCACGGTTATAAGCAATATTTTACCCAGCTTCATTCATCTTCATGTTGGACGTTTCTAAAGTTTTATATTTAATTACAGGGGGGAGCATATACCTGGTGCGTTTTTTGCAGTATCATGGAAATTGTATTCGTTTTTCCAACAAACTCCCAAGTGAAATTAGAGAATTATCACTGAATAAATTCAAATCTCCCGTTAAACGTAAATTAAACAATAAAGCTTTTTATTCATTTGACGATTATTTAAATGATGGGATTGATTTCAAACATTTTGTATGACTCAAAACATGGAGATTAAAAAGAATGGCGAAGAGTTTCTTGCCAATTCTTGCCCTTGACTTGGGAACTGGTAGTAAATGTAAATTTAGAATCAATTTAACATATTTTCGTTGACGTTCATTAGTGTACTTGATTACCTATATGAATAAAGTTATTCTGAGTTGAGTCTAAGTTTATTAATGCAGAATATTCTTTATAAAAACTGGTCAGTAACGAAGCCCATTAAACAATAATTACATACAGACGTAATGTAATACGGATGTTAAGGTCCAGCCATCCCCAAGGACACCTGATTACGTGCCTAAACTAACAAGTCGAATTTACTCCTATACAAAGGCTACGTGATTTAAAGTTTACATTGCGATAGTTAATCGTGGAGATGTTTTAAATGATAAAAAGTTACGAAAATAGAATGCGAAGTAGTTTTATACTTTTTTTTTATTTTTGTTTCTAATGCACTTAACATATTTTGATTGTAAATAGTGTATGTGATGCGAATTTTTCATTTTATTTTCGTTTATTTAGCTTTTTTTTTTAAATTTATTTAAGCATATTATAATAAAATCATGATATGTTACATTAGGAAACCACTGTGGTTTGTATTTATGTAACCGTAGCAGTCTTGTTTAGAAGCGCGACAAATGCATATAAAAGTAGTTTTTCAACTTACTTCTTATGTTGGTTTATGTTAGGCTATGTAATAACTGACTGGGTAGTGTTAATTTTTTATGTTTTCTCAAAGGTGTACGACTAAAAGACATGTAATTACTTATTCTATAGAATTAGGTGATATATCGTGCCGGTTTCCTCGCGATGTTTTTCTTCTCAGTACGAGCAAGTGTTATATATATTAAGAAATGATTAAGTCATCCGGGGCTCAAACGCAAGACCTAGTTTCGCACTCATAACTCTTTAAAGACTTTATTGACAATAAATCTTTAATTTACAGGACGCACCAATAACAAGCAATTTAAACGTAAAAACAAATAAATAAAAAAAAGTATGTAATAATAATAAAGTTATGAATACATACTATTCTTTATTTTTATTATTTTTGAAAAACTAACCTTCTGAAGTAAAAACTGTCGTCCCGCCCCCTCCATTTACTAAAACTAAAACAATTGACACTTGTCCATATAATTATTAAAACAAACTACGCAACAATAAAAGTCTTATTCAATGGACCCATGAGGGCGCCACAGTGTATGGGGTTCGTTGACCCCCACCAGAAAGAGTGGTGGGGACCGGGGGGGCGGGTGCTGCGAACTGGCTTTCGGCTTCCGCTGCCATCGCTGTGTGCTGCTGGGGGAAGTTGAAGTCCAGGCTGCCGTCCATACTGAGTTCATGTTTGATGACCTGGAGAAATATTGTATTAGGTCGCTTGTGTATAGCTGATTTGGTCGTAGTATTATACAATGGGCCTCAATAATTCGATTACGCAGCACAACTGAGCTCTCAAAAAGAAATAATTTTCCCAAAGCTATATATTGTTACTACAATGTAGATTTATAACAACAGCGGAGAATATATTAGACATTTAATTATAACATGGGAATCATCCCTCCCAGCTATCACGGCGAAACCGTTTAATCATGAAGCACTGTAATGCTTGATGATATAATAAAAAATATTATATAACTGAAATATACTCATAGTAACTTAACCCATAACAACCAGTCTTTTAAGTTTTTGATAAATCAAACACGTTTTTGAAATATCAGGCAAAATAAACTTTAAAATTAACATTGTGCATATGTACAGAAAAATTGTAAAATTTTACGTTACATAGTTTTTTGAGTATTCATAAAAGGTGGATCGTTATGTAAAGATTAAATAGTTTTATATGTCTAGTGGCACCGATCCTTAGATATTATAATATATTAATAATTTTAGTAGTAATTAGAGTACTCAAATTGTGATGAAAAATTACTCGGTAGACATGTTCAGCAACTCCATTAAGAACTTTCGACGAGCCGTTTTAGAAACCTAGTGTTAATTATTTGATACTTATATTATTTTCTTTATTCCTAAATAATTATATGTTTACGTTGTATGCCAATGCTTGGCCCATGCGACAAATATAAAAAGTCCCCTCGTAAGTAGTGTGCTGTAATATTGCGGGCTACCCGATTGTTGCATGTATCTTAGCGCTACGCCGTCATAAGTTCTCACGTTATTTACACACATATATTTCTATAACATATTTTTATAAGTATCTAATTGTCCTCATTTTAAAATGTGATGTTTGAGAGCAAAAATATAAAACCATAAAAAAATCCATTTTGAAAATGTATCATTAGAAGATCTTGTTGGGCCAATCCTCAATATGATACCGTTCAATGTTCGTTCTCAGTTCTATTTGTTTGAATATTCGAAAAAAGAATTGTTACGTAAAATACATACGTTGTATGTACAGACAGTACGACTAATCGGTCTAGTGGTTAGTACCCCTGACTGCGAATCCAAGGGTCCCGGGTTCGATCCCCGGCTGAGACGAACATCGACGTGATGAGCATTTGGTGTTGTGCTTAGGTCTTTGGCGTTTAAATATGTATATCTATCTATCTATAATATGTATGACGTATGTATATCCGTTGCCTAGTACCCATAACACAAGCTTCACCGGCTTAGCATGGGACTAGGTTAATTGGTGTGAATTGTCTTTAAAAAAAAAGACTTGTAATTTACCTCATCAACGTTGCAGTCGAAGCTGTGTTCCAACGACTCTATATTAATATCCTCCGCGAGTCCAGTATTTAACGCTCCCATTATTTGACCCATCACAGTGGTTGGCCCCATCGCTCCAGTCTGCACCATCATGCCTCCGTTCATTAAGGCTGCATCTGACGTCGTCACCATTTGTGTACTATTTTCTGGGAAATAGAAAGTTATAATGAGAGCATATAAACCTGAACCCATGAGCCAGTTTTTTGAAATGAATCACACTAATATTATTATTTTATATTATCGACAGTAATATTAATTTTATGAAAAAAAAATCTTTACAGGTAGCCTACATTGTATCACTGAAATAAGAATCTTTTCACTTCACTGTAACTAGGATAAATCTCACCCCGCAATAATTTAATTATGAATTAAAATATGTTTAAAAAAAGGTTTTTAATTGAAATTATATTACAAAAAAATCCCTTAGATTTAATAAGACAAACCTGTCTGCATAATATCAGCCGGGTCAGCAGGTGGTGGCGGTCTAACAAAGTGGTCTAACGCATGCTGGTGCGGGTGTGCCGGGTGCGCGGGAAACAGAGAAGCGCACGCGCAGCCGCCGTGCGGGTGTCGAGGACACGTGTATGCAAACCGGTAACTACCGCCCGATGACGATGATGACGTTGTTGGTACATACCTAAAGTATCATTCAATAACTATCACATTTCGGGAGTCAGAAATATTTCACACAGATAATTATAACCTTCAAATTTCATTAGGGGTGTACGGACACTATTAAAAATGTTTTGGTGTCTCTGGCAAGTGGTTAATTATTTGTGTTGCACTTGCAACTATTAATAAGTGATACAGAAAAGTTTTACACTATTTATATATATGTATATTTCGATTATGCATCGATTTTAAAGGAATTTTGCGCGTTTGATCCGATCAAGCGAGAAACAAAATTCGAACCCGCACTTTTCAATATTTATTAAACCAAAATATCTCATAACTGGTGGTCTGGAAAAACAATTATATGATAGAAAAAGTAAGCATACTAATAAAAGGCAATTTGATGCTAATTAAATATCGAAGCTAAAAGGTCAGTCTATTATGATACCTGATAGATTTTAATATGTCATTCTCCGATATAGAGCTGTATAAGGTAATCATAAATATGCATGACAATTTTATATCAGGCAACAGAACAGACGTGTTCGCAACAATGTATTGAGGCACTAAAATTCTAGAAGCGTCTTACGTATTCAAGAAAGGGTCTCCATGTAGCTTCATGGAGTCAGCGAGTGTCCCAGCCAATTCGTCTTGTGTAAAATCTTGGTAGTCTGTGTTTGATGTAAAATCCGCTGATCCGAAATCCGCTGATCCAAATTCCGTAGAACCGTAATCGGTTTGCCAATCAGGTTCCGTGTGTAATAGTGATGGGATTGGAGAGAGACGACCACACGAAGACGCGTTAGACGATGCCCGCTGGCGGAAGTCTGGTGATAACTGAAAACTCGTGCTACTGCCAAAGCATTGAAGCGTTAAAATTATGGTCTGAGTGACACAAAACGTGACTATAATTCACTTACTGATCAAGATTATATCGCAGAGAATTAACTTATCACAAATCAATGTACCCGCAACTTGCCAAAATTAATCAGTGATCAGATTACAAATTGATTTTTTTCTATAGTCACGTTTTTCTATATGTAGCAAATAATGAAAAATTGCTAAAGAAAACTTCTACGACCTACGACCCCCTACTCTAATAAATTCTATTACAATTCTTTACCTATAATAAACGATGATTAATAATGGAAACATGCAAATCTAATGCCCCTATCAAGGCTCTCTAAGATATAATCTCGAATGCCAAATGAAGCGATCAACATAACGGGTTAGATGGTCAGCGAGAAATATATTTTATTACTACGATTTACTATATTACAAATGGTAAAGAATTGTGATAACACTAAAATCTAAACTATATCTGTCTCCACTATTTAATTACGATTTTGGGAGCGTATGATTCACGATTCGTACTGCTCAGTCAGCATTTGCGATAACTTTTAATACACTTGCTAAACTTGGAAGACGTTCGTTGTTAAAAAGATTTTGATCTACGGATGCTGACTTGGCAATCGTGATTGCATTATAAAATTATTATACCTTTAAAGTCGAATTAGTATCGCAGCCCGAAACTCATAACCGTTAGTATTATTGGCTGACTGCCACAATTCTTTGGACTTTTATGCATCTGTGGTCTATATCAAAGGAAGCAACTAGTCTAGTTTCTACTGAATTTATAAGGCGTTTAATTCTGTGATATATTTACCTGGGTACTGGCGAATCGGGGAATATGTCGTGGCTCTCTGAGACGGAACTGCTGGGACTTGGCGTTGTGTCAGCTGTCATTCCATTCCTTAATGATTCGGGCTGTTGATTAAAACGATTAATGTCAAGACATGTATAATTATAACATGATTTATAAAACATTTATACAGATATAACTTTAGTATTGAAAAATAACATCTTTTCATGCTTGTCTTTATTACTAATGTAGAGTATGACAATTAGGGCTCGTTGTAGTTAGAATATTTATATTTTTATATATTTAAAAAGAAACGACTACTACTAACTTGGTAGTACATGTATTTAAGCCATAAAAATAAATCAGTGGCACTAAAACTTTTTTCTGTATTTGTTTCATGATCATTTGTGTATTAGGCAAGTAGATGATCAGCCTCCTGTGCCTGACACATGTTGTCGACTACTTGTGTCTAAAGCAAGCCGGTTTCCTCAGGATCTTTTCCTTCGCCGTTCGAGTGAATGTTAAATGCGCACATAGCGAGAAAGTCTATTGGTCCATCCGGGGATCAAACCTACGGCCTCAAGGATGAGAGTCGCACGTTGAAGCAATTAGGCCGTGGTACAATGACAGTACCACGGTTTTGATGTTTGTCGTACCTTCTTTTTAACCCGTCCTCTTCTCTTCTCTGCTTTGGACGTCTCCATTGAGAGCGCTCGTCTTCTGACTGATTTTCCAGGTTTGGCATCAGGGTTGATCATCCACCAGGAAGACTTGCCGGTACCCTCATTCTGTACTCTCATGAACCGGTTGTGAAGGGATAGATTATGTCTAATTGAGTTCTGCAAAAAGAAAGAAACAACAATTAGGTCTTATAAGCTTGCAAGTTTCATTTGTACTTGAGAAATGGGAATTAGGAAGTGTTTGGTCTTAATTACATTAGTATAGTGTTCATTTATATACGAAATCATATGAATTACTAACTTAGTATTGTCTTTGATTAACATAACTTTTATTCATTTAATAAAACACTATTTTGACCGGATTGAAGTTATGTATTATTATAAATTTACAACGTCACGGTGACCACGCACGCTGTAAAGCACGCGAAACGTCGGATAAATTTAAAATTATGTTAAATAGTTGTAAATTTATAATAATACATAACTTCAATCCGGTCAAAATAGTGTTTTATTAAATTACTAACTTTTTTTAAATTTGATAATCACGTGTTGGAATATTTGTACGAATAATTTATTAGTCGCGAATAGGTTAGCATTAGGCATAAACGGTACGTAAGAGAGAATTGTTTTCTTATTTTAAAATGGGAAAGGATTTTTGGCTACTAAAATGGATTTGAAATAACGATAGGTAAACGGAAAATAATAAGCTAAGCGAAAGTATACGGGGTTATAAAAAGTTAAATAACTATTGGCCATTTATGATTATGGCCATCGTTGACCACAAACCTCTATTTTAATTTCAACTCCAGTTCAAAGTTAGTGCAATAACGTGTCCTATCTCACACCGGCAATAAAATCTCACAACTTTTTCCGTTGAAAGAATAAAAGCAACCACAGCAACGAATGAAGTTTAGCAATAAAATAGTCCATAAATAATTTCTCTGCCCTCTGAGAACTGCCAGTATACGTAAATATAACAACTTTTCTCTCACATAATTCAAAAAACTCCATTTGATACTCTCTAATCTTCAATATAAACTTATAAACGTATCGGTGGAAGGCAAAAATAATGTTTTAAAGGCAAAACATAAAATACCATTTCCTCTATCATTCCTAATACTAAGACCAATATTTAATACCACCAAAAGAAACAAAAGTATAGACCATATTATTGCAATTGCCTCTGTCAATGTTCCAGCCATTTTAGAGCCAATAGGCATCGCTAGAAATGGTAAGGGGCCGGATGGGATATCTCTTAGAGGATATGACGGGCTTTGGTATGGGATGCTACTTGTGTAGCCCCGTCTCACCTCCCTCGGACAAGCATAAAAGTTGGCGCGGCCGCAGAGCAGAAAAGAGGGAACGGCTCAAATATATATAGTATTTCCTTACTATTCAGGTTAAGAATAATGACCCGGCAAACGTTGTTTTTTGTATGCTGTATCATAAAAAAATTGTTTTTAACAAAAAAAAATCTAAAAAATAAAAAAACGTTTTCTGGGGTGGACAGTGGACACCCCTTATCACTTAGGGGGTTGACAGTAGCCAATTCTCAGACCTACTGAATATGCATATAAAATTTGATAAAAATCGGTCAAGCTGTTTCGGAGGAGTATGGTAACTAACATTGTTATACGAAAATTTTATATATAAGATTATGTTTACCTTTATAAAACAAATTGGTGAACACACATGCCTTATCTCTCCCTAACTCTAAACTTAGCTAGTAGATACTCACATACATATTACTATTGCGTTTGTGTTAAATCGAATATTCAGCCATTATATCATTGCCCCTTTATTGCGGTAAGTTCAGAAAAAATCAGAAGTGAATATTTCAGATGGTTTCACGGATAATTGAACAGGAACATTACATAATTTTATAAGGAAGTATTGCGTGGGTACAAGTATGAGACACGATTGATTTGCGATATTTGAATCAGCTACCACGGCTACCCTTTTCTCAGTTTAGTATAAGTTACTACCGCTTATTCATAACAGTAAGACTTTTTTTGTTATTTAGTATAAACAAACATGTGTACACTTGTCCGTTATCCGACGTCAGTGGGGGATTTACACATTTTCAAGGTTGTGAAGTTTTTCTCTCGCTCTACAATTGTCGTATCCTAGATTATTTTTACAATCCAACAATTTCGTACGTAAAATATTTTTTGGGTTTGATTTTAGAGCACAAAATTATACAAAACCATCCAGTTCGCAGCCTCCGATCAGTAGTAAGACTGACATGTATGGGTAGATAGGGAAGAGGGAAGTAAATTTTCTGCAATTTTCCCTTTTCACTCTTGCAAAGTGTGAGCTGAAGGCACAGAGGTCAATTACTGGTTGGGGGCGCCGAACTAGTTGTTTTACTCTAGAATTTGTAAGTTTGGTACACCGAATGTACAATGACAAAATTTGTTGCAGCCTTCTATCTATAAAACATCAGAAAACCGTCATGCATAAACCTTTTTGATTTCAAAAAAAATAAATCCGCCCCAAAATACTGCCGCCCTAGCCTCCTCCCTACTCAGCCTGCTGGTAAATCCGCCACTGATCAACGTCAACTTGCCAGTGGACAGTGAAGTATAATATGATGTAAATCTTAGCTTCCAAATGAAGTTCTTTTTAAATTTCGTCTTAGGGGTAGAACAGAGAGAGAAACTAAGGTATACACAGTTGTATGGACAAAAATTACAAAGCCTCAAAAATGAAGTTACGCGCAAACCAATTAATAGGGAATTATTAATATAAATACAAGCTTAACAGCAATATGCATCATAATAAAGTGAATGTATGTACAAGACACGAAGTACTACAAAGGAATTAAGATGTTTATCTATGGGCACAGTCGACACATATATGGCTAACAATTTTATCGTGGCTGGTACAGAGCCATCTTTATAGAGATGGTTTCAAATAGACGGTAAAATCACAAAATACTAAAGACAATTATGATATGTGTTATACAGTTTACCAAGCATGAAAACGCGCGCAACAAATGACCTGTCCACGCTTTGATGGATTCGTCGCCAAATGCCCTCGCGATTATATACTATACGTTACTTATAAATACATTTTGTATGCAACGATGTATTTTTGGTGTATGTTATATACATTCTGAAATAACGAGGTGCCTTTGGTGCTTCAGATGTAACTGTTTCTGTTTTAGGCTTCTGTTCCATACGTCATACATTTTTGGGTGTCTTAAACCCTCGTTTTTAATGGTCCACCACCGTATGGGAAATTATATTATAAGTAAAGAAAAAATCTTTTTTTTATTATATATTCGAGAAAACGTTTTCTGTTGCCTTTCTTATGTCTAAGAAATTACTGATTCGTTGACGAGTAAGAACTTGACAAAGTTATTGAAAAAATATTCGTAATTAAAATCACACACGTTAGTATTCGAATTGCATTATTTATTTTTAAATACATATACTGTGGTCAAACATATCTCAAACAATTGCTTTGTATTGTTTAATCATGAGGCCTAAATTTAATATTGATTCGTAATGCGGTTTTATAGTTTACCGCTAAATGACTTTCCTTAAAAGAGCATGTCCTTGAATCAAAATAGACATAAAATGCTTAAAAATTCTTCTAAGTTTTATAGTTGCAATATGTACGATAATTACCTGCACCGTGTTTAGTAATCTGTGTTGTTTGGCCTCATCTGTCACAAGGTAATGACAATTTAGTTATTCAGTTACACAGAGTAGCAGGGATCAACAAAAGCATAGACAAAAGAAAATTAGTTATTGTCTCTAATGTTTTTCATCTGTTTTAGTATAGTTAAAAATGTAATGTATAAAAAAATACCCTAGTTTCTTTTTCAGTAGAAAGGGAAATCAAGTGACGTAAGAAGTGTCAATGTGCTATCAAATGCTACGAGATTTTCACAAATTCGCGAGCGGAAAGAATTTTCTTTACGGCAGGATTCGTGGCGCCACTGTGTCCCTTATGGGGTGTATTAAACGGTATCCCCTTTAAGATAAGACCGCACTGTAAGATTTTTACTCGGCATTTAAAAGCAGTCGAAGAAATACCTAAAGTTTGTCTTCTTCATAATTTGTCATTATTATGATTAAATGTGTTTTTTGTGAATTATTCTCGTTCTTAATTTCTGAACTGGCAGTAAATGTACATTTAGATCCCATATTTTTTTTCTGAAGTGTACATTCTGTTACCAATATGAATAAATATTTTGTGTGGGGCTGCCAAACAGCTTTGCCTTAAAAACTAATTTAATGAGTTCGGAGATGGTTGATGACACATGATGTACCTATATAGAAAGCGTCGAGGCGGGATCTAACTATATACTTACTACTTTGTTTTTACAAGGGTTCGGTTACTTTCCGAACATGCTCCCGGGCGGGAGAAAAAAAACAAATCAAGGGAAAAAATCAAAATGTTCGGGCTGCTGCCAAAACACTTTAATGATATTTAAATAAAAGATTGTTTGCTCTTAAAAACTAATTTAATGAGTGATCGCGGAGATGGTAGATGACACACTGATGTTATAGAAAAGCGTCGCGGCAGGCGGCGATCTAACTATACGTACTTATACTATTTTACAAAGTGTTCGGTTACTTTCGAACATGCTCCCGGGCGGGAGAAAAAACAAAATCTTAAAATTATACATAATATGAGAGAAAATTTACTGATAAAAATAAATAATGAGTGATTATATGTCATGACACTATCTTCGATTATGAGAATGCCTTTCGCGCACTAACACTTTCACTTTCATTGTGAACCACTGATTTTATTTCACTATTGTCACTGGTTGCGCGCCCGGTGAGAGCACCAGACGCCGCCGACGCCGACACCTTCTCCAGGCGACGACGAGCGCCGCGCACGCGCACGCGGCGACCAGGCCGTAGCTGATGGAGTATTGATGATTCGTGGTCGACAGCTCAGGCATTTCATCCATGTTGCTCTTCATGCTCTTTTTTGGGATTCCAAGCCATCTATAGAGCTGTTCAGTTTATCGATATCTGTATCGTCTTCTTTGAAGTAAGGCATTGTTATATTGATAATGTGTTGATGTCTGGAACATCTGGTATAAGGATTTCGGTGCCGTTTGTAAAGTATTGAATTGTTGCCCACTTGCCATTAATGTGAAATCCTTGCCTTTAATTTGGCACTTATCTTGCAGAGTTATTATTCCGGATTTTTTTTCGCGACTGTGAACTGTATTGTCACATATGATCCGCAAATTGTATGTATCGCAACAGAAGTACAGATACTGCAGAGGATTGTTTAGTTTTATCCACTGGTTGCGCAGGTTGTGGTAGCTACTTTCAACTGTCATTGATGTATTTAATACACAAAACTTCTCGTCAGTGCTTAGATGATAAATTGGCTCTTCAATTCACACAAGTAATGTCCTCGTTAATATGCATCCTTGTAAGTCGTCGATTGATAATATGATGTAGGCGTCCTTGTTTAGATTTAATGTACTATTGTGATAAGGCGACTATTTCAGTCATTAATTTGCCAATTGATTGGGATGGGTATTATTGATAATCTGGTATATGTCCCTGCTTACTAGAGGAAATTGTATTTCAAAGATAAGGTATTGTGTAGTGATTCCGTTTTTATTTTTAAAAGCTTGTATATTTTGTATAAGTCTATTTGTATGTTGTCGATCGGTAAGCTCAAATCCTTTGATAACTGTCCTGATATCAATTCAGTTCACTCTGTAGTTGCTTGGGAGTCAACAGTGGCTTAGTTGGCCTTGATATACGTCAGTGATGGTTCCAAGAGGTATTTTGAATGCTTTTTAGATTCTGAAGTAAGTTCATAGCCGACATTGCTGACATAATAAAATCCTCGACTTCCGACATGCTCTGTATTTGCTTATTTAAATCGTTTGTTGCCTTATCGATAGAGTTTAACCGACTATTTATAATGTTATACTGCCTTTCCATCGATGCTTCTGTTCTTTTTAACAAGTTAAATTCTGACTCTACTATAGAAGTTTGTTACGCCATGATTTACCAAGTTTGTTATTATTTCTAATCAGTTCAATGTCCTCAGTGTATTTATCTGCAAAATGCTATCTAGCACACCAAACAATGTGTTCGCAAGGTAGCCTACGCCGTTGAT